ATTTGTGTTTTTTAAAGTTTGACTAAAGTTAGTGTGCCTTCAGTGCTGAACACAAGTAAATAAGTAATGCTATACAGCACGGTTTTAAGTGTGATCCTAAAGATTACTAAGTGGAGTTTAATTCACACCTTCACTGTGGGAATTAAGGGAGATATTTAGTTGTTTTTATATTTGTGTTTTTTAAAGTTTGACTTGTGTAAAAGATTTGTCTGTTCCAAGTTTTTTTTTATTATTAATTTTGTTATTAAAGATTTTTGGTTGTCTTCAAAAGTTGCAGTGACAAATGAATCCAAAAGATCTTTTTTCACTTGTAAGAATTGTGGAGTGTTTTGGATTATTAAAACGAAAACTAGTTGAAAATTTAAATGTTTGAAAAGTGTATAATTGTTGCATACAATGTTGATAGAGTTCAGTATGTTTGATATTACTATTTGAAAAATACTGACATTGTTGCTCTTTGGTATTTTCTTTTTACTTTATTGGTCAAGTGAAGATTGACCTAGTCTCAGATTTAGTGAGAGCCTTTTATTGGTAGGAGGGTCAGTATTTAGGGAACAAAATTTGAAATCTATATAAAAACTGTCTTAAGTTTATTATAATTCCGTTGTGTAACAGAGTTTATTAGAAACATTGCTGGTGAAATCATTATGTGATCAATAAAATACTGATTAAGATACTGTTGTGTGAATAAAAAGTATCTGGATGTTAAAAGTGTGTCTAATAACTTACTGTTATACAGACATAAAATACAGAAACAAAGCAATCTATTTATATTAACTGTATTTGAAAATCCAGGTGAAAATGGTGTTTTGTAAGATTGTTGTGTTTGAAACCTGATCTAGAGTATTGTGATTTTAGCAAAGAAAAATTTTTTTAGAGGTGTTAAGTATACTTGATAAAGTGAAATTTAACTGTTACTCCAATGTAATCTCTATTAACTACATTAAAATATTTTCTCAAGATTGAAGCTGTTCTCGACAAGGAATTTCTCATTATTAAATATACCTTATGTTTTTTTAGTAAAGGAAGATTTAATTTTTTTATGTAAATATTTTAATATATCTTTATTTTCACGGTTTTCTGCGTTTAGAATGTTGTTAAATTATATAATATTACTTCACTCATTGCATGATATGTTTTCTAGGTTTGGGATTATGAAACAGGGGATTATGAGAAAACCCTGAAAGGCCACACAGATTCAGTTCAAGATATTGCATTTGACCACACTGGAAAGTGGCTAGGTATGAAAACTATTCTTAGCAGTATCTAGATTAATGTAACTGTTTTAACATAAAGTTTATAGGTCAAGAACGTTAAGACTTATACTGGGTAATTCCCCATTCTTGTTTTAGACTCATGACGATTATAAACTATTGTTCTTGGTTTATCTACTATTTTAGTTTTGAAGTTTCTAATTAGATTCAGGGCTATAACCAACTAGTTTTAAAATATGATTGAGGATTGATTTATGATGATGCAAAATATTTATTTTGGTACTTAATAACATCTTCATTATTTTGTATTATATTAGGTATCAGCTTCTTTTTTTACATTACTTTAACTTATTTTCAGAATTTTTTTATCTAAATTATAGTTATATTTTTCTGAAAATTGTCTTGGAATATGGTAGACTATTTTCAGTATGAAAAATAATTATGTTGCTAATCGAGTTTACAGTGTAAATATTAATAAGTTTCTTGTGGTCATTTTTGTTATTTGTATATAAAAAAAATACAGACCAGAAGGAGCTGATGGTTAATTTGGTTCCTTTGCTTATAAATGACTGTGATGTAAATTAAAGAATAACAAACACTTAAAAAATAATGCTGAAGTGGGTTATATATATATATATATATATATGTATGTGTGTGTGTGTGTGTGTGTGTGTGTCATTCAGAATATACCTTATACACACACACGTTTCAAGTACAGGTTATTAGACTTTGGAAGTTGTATATTTAATTGTTTTATCACGTTTGTTCATTCATGTGAATGCCGAATGAAAGGTTAATATGAAAATTCATATTTTTCTTAGTATTGTTATCTTTAACCTGTTTGTGACTTTTGCTCTCATTAATTTAGAGTTGTTAGTTCTAAGATTGTTGAAAGAACAAAATGGTGTTAGTTCTAATTATATTACATTTGCAAATTTTGGGAGATGTTCAGGTGATTTTTAATTAATTAGAAGTTTCTGTGTTTGTAATGACAAATTTCTGTGAAAACTAACTAATATGATACGATATATTTTCTATAAGATTTGAAGAATTGTTGTTTAGCATAATTTTCGATCTGTTTTTGCTTTTAGTAGAATTTATTAGCAGAAGAGTTCAATTATTAATTTGTATTTCACAGTGTCTTGCTCTGCTGATATGTCTATTAAACTTTGGGACTTTCAAGTCTATGAATGCGTCAAAACAATGCATGGTAAGAGGAATTGTGTTTCTTAAATTTTTAAACATGTTCCAAAAAAAAGTACTGTAACATGTTTTTGATCACTTCAAAATGATATTGGCACGTGGAGTACCAGTTTTTTATCTTGATGTTAAACAGAAGTTATTTAAAATAATAGAAACATTTAAAGAAATCTGATCATCGTTTCGTACTGATAGATATAACTTCTTAAAAAACAATAAAAAAATTTTTTAATTTTCAGCTGAATATTTTTTTTAATATAGCTCAGAGTATTTTAGATTACATTATAAGTATTTGATTTAGTTTGAACTTACTAACTTTGAGAAATAAATTAAAATGCAAAGCTGTAACGGCTTAGTGCCCCAAATTGCAAAGAAAATTCACAAGATTTTCAGATGCATGAAACAAGTATCAGTTTCTTCAATTTTGCATTGAGAAATTAAAAAAAAGAAAATCTCAACCCCAGGTTTGATTACAGTTTGTAAGTTAGGTTTATGGGTACAAGTGTAGAGATGTCTCTGCATTTTGTAATAATTTTATTTTCCACTATGCAATATATTAGGAATATCAGCACAAAGGCAACTTTTCTTTTGTATTATTAATATAACATTATATTGCATCCTTTATGACTAAGTAACTAAGTTAAGGAACTCTATTTACCTCCATTGTTGAAGGTATGAAATAATTTATAGTAATGTGCACTGGTAGTTGTAATTTTTGTTTAGAATAATATAATTATAATAATTAAGTGTTTTTTTTCACCAATTCCACCATTTTATATTGTTATTTAACTGTAAATAAAGTGGCTGATAATAATGTTGTATAAAGTAGATTATAACAGAAAAGTTGTATTCAATATTTTCACAATGCCTTTGTAGTTCCCCATTTTTTTTTTTTTTTGTTTGCTATTGGCACATTTAAATTAAATTTTATAAAGGGCTTTAGGTCACCATCTTTTCTATAAACCTAATGATTTCTTACTTCTTTTTTATTTTCTTTTGGGTTATAAGATACAGCTTTGATTTCTTAGGTTTATATATAGTGTTTCTGTGTGAATTCCTGATTCTTAAAAACTGTTCATTTATATAAATGTCATGAACATTTTTTGTCCTAGGGCATGACCATAATGTCTCCTCTGTGACCTTTATGCCCAGTGGTGACCACATATTATCCTGCTCTCGAGACAAGACCATCAAGATGTGGGAGGTTGCAACTGGGTATGAGGTTCAATCTGTCATTTTACAATAACATATAAAGCAGTGTTTAGCAGACTAACTACTACTGATTGTGTTGTTATGTGCTACTATGTAAGAGAAGTGCCTTAATGTATTAGTGTTTAGGTCCTAAGATTTGCTGTATAGTAATGTTCTAAACTATTTTGTGAAGTGAACTGCTTTAAATTGTATAAAGAGCTTGTGTTTCTTGTTTTTATAAGCTTATCTCTCTTGAAAGGAATGAAAAAGGGGTTCCTTGTAAGTTTTTTCTCTCTCTCTTTTTTTTATGTGTTTAGGTATTGTGTCAAAACTTTTACAGGCCACAGGGAGTGGGTGAGAATGGTCAGAACTAACCAGGATGGGTCTTTGATTGCATCTTGCTCCAATGATCAGGTGAGCCAAAATGTATATGCTTTATTACCCTGAGCAATAGTCTTGTGGCAGATTTCTTCAACTGCTTGAAACTAAGTTTAAATGATCTAGAATTCAATTTGATCTTTAGAAATTATTAACCAAGCATTGCCCAATGAATAAAGTTCATGGTGTTTACAGTATTCATACTGTTTAGTTGAAGAAGCACATAAACATCAATTATACAAACGTGAGTATGTATATAAAAACTAATAATAAACTGACATTAAGCCTCTTTCTTTGAGATATTAAATAGATTCTGCATTATTTTGTGGAGTATTTTTTAACAATGTGGATGTTATTTTGTCTTACCCATTTATTTATTTGTAATATATATCATTAGAAGTAACTTGTTAACTAAGCCTACTTGGTTTATTTCAGGCCTTAGTCTGTTAATGAACAAGCTTGTAGATTGAGGCTTCAAATAAATAAGTTCAGCTTACAAGTTATTTCTAATGTCATAAAAAGTTTTTGTTAGTTTTTTTGGAAATGTAATACAAAGCACATACAAGTCAAGAATATGAGTATTGTGTGTGAAAGGAATATATTGATTGTAAACTACCATTCTACATTTACATAGTATATGTTTCTAAGGTAAAACAATGACTGACTAGAAACAGACATAACTAAAAATGACGTAGAAGTTTTTTTTTACAAGTCTATCATATAGATCTTAAAATAGTGTATAATTCTGTAATTCATTTCAGACTCTAAGAGTATGGGTGGTTACTACAAAAGAATGTAAACTGGAGCTCCGGGAACATGACCATGTAGTGGAATGTATTGCATGGGCTCCAGAGAGTGCAACCCCAGCAATCAATGAGGCAGCTGGAGCTGATGTAAGTGTTGTGAATGTGTACTAAGTCTCATTCTAATGCTCTTTTAACTTTTGTCTTCTCAATGTAAATCCTTCATCAAATCTAATCAAGATCACTTGTTTTCATCGACATTATCCATTAAGTTTCTGTTTAGTCATTATCTTCTAGTCTCTACATGAGAAAGCATTAATATTGAAGTTACATGTAAAAAAAAAAATGTTTTTTTATGTGACCTTACTTTAACTTGCTTTCTCCATATCATAAATAATGTCAACTTATTCAATTGAATTAGTATTCAAAAAATGAAAATAGAACCAAGACCTCCTTTTGAAGCCTTTCAAAACCTATATTTTTGTTCTTATTCTAAATTCCCTTTATTTTTAATCAACATAGGCCAAAAAATTTAAATTTGAAGTCAAACCTATATTCCTAACCAAAGAGTGTATCAAGGTTTTTATACTATAGTCATGATATTACATTAGTTATTCAATACAAATCCATGAAAATATAACAATTTTGTACTATTTTTGATGTGGAAAAATTACTTGGACATCATTATCAGCATCTGGCTGAATGGTAAGTCTGAGAGCTTATGAAGCTGGGTTTCGAAACCCATGGTGGACAGAGCACAGATAGTCCATTGTGCAGTTTTGTGCTCGGTAACACACAACAAAAAGAAAATCTTTATCAGCATTATTAGTGCATACATGGTAAAATCTCTGTCATCACAAAATAATGGATTTCTTAGTGGAAATTTTGATGGTTCGTATAGAAATTCACATTTGCTATTTGTCAAATATAAGTTATCAAACCATTATTTACTATATTTGTTTAGATAAAGGAAACTTTAAAAACAAAATTCATTTTGTGCAGTATTTTACCGGGAGGCTTTTCTACACAAAACAAACCTAACAGGTACATATATTTTAGTTTAACTACAACCACTAAGTAAAACATGAAATCATCAGAAACATGATGATAAAGACTGGAAAAAAAAACTGCTATCTGGAGAAGAACATTCCATCCAATGATAACGTATATATATATATATTTTTCTTATTCTTTTGTTCTTAAGCTGTATAGAAATATACTTAGTTATTTAAATGTAGAAGAAAAATAACTTTTTTTTTAGATTATGTTATTATAGATTACAAAAACCTTAGATACAAATCTGGAAAAATATGTTGGAAATGAGGCATTGAAGTTGTTTAAAAACAAAGGTTGAGAAACAACATAGAATCATGTTATACTTAAAAAAGTAATTTCTTTGGAAAAAAAAAGCTTCCTACAAAATTTCTCATCCTTCGGTGAATAATATATTGGTAGAATAAGATAAATTATTAGCCACAGGTTAAAGAAGCAAAGTGCCACTAAACTGCTACAAGCAGAAAAGCTTTTGGTTAATAGCTTCCCCTGAACATAACATTAGCAGTGCATGAGTTGAGACCAATAAATTCCCTTAACACTGTACAATAGTGGAAAATAAGTAACAATGTAAGGTGAACTGATGACCTGAAATTGTATATAATAATGTCGAAAACATTGTATTTATTTAAAATAAAAAACAACATACAATCATGTTAAGCATAAAAAAATTCTTAACATTTTCTACAAAGTTTTTCATTCTTCAGTGTATAACATATCTGCAATATATTCGTCTTAAAATCAGAAAACAATAAGTGATCCTTCTTACATTACCCAGCCACATCCCATACTGTAAGGTTTATCAGTGAAAGTATATAACACAAAGTGATCCTTCTTACATTACCCAGCCACATCCCATACTGTAAGGTTTATCAGTGAAAGTATATAACACAAAGTGATCCTTCTTACATTACCCAGCCACATCCCATACTGTAAGGTATATAACACAAAGTGATCCTTCTTACATTACCCAGCCACATCCCATACTGTAAGGTTTATCAGTGAAAGTATATAACACAAAGTGATCCTTCTTACATTACCCAGCCACATCCCATACTGTAAGGTTTATCAGTGAAAGTATATAACACAATGGCAGCTTTGTTGGATAACCTGTGATACAATCAACTTTATGGATGTCTAAATACAGGTTTTAAAATGTCCAACTTTGGTAGTCCAGGCAGACACAATTCATAGACTTTTCAAATGAAGAATACTGTAATTTTTAACTCCTTAAGTAAGTGGAGCTCTGGTTTTAGAAAAATTGTCTTAATCGTACGATTCGTTTGAGGATTTTGATATGTTTGTGCATAATAGTGTATCTTTTGTTTGTACTAGGATTACAATGACCATGTTTTAATTTGTTGTAATTAAACAAAACTGTAAAAGAAAAGAAGAATAACATACTTAAAAAAACATATATTTCAAGAAAGAAAGGTGTGAAAAGAAACAATGAAATCATCATTTCATCATGATTAATCCATAACCAAGCGAGTTATTTTTTAAAAAACGTAGTATCAAGTATCGGCAAGAGCTGAAGAGATTAGTTTTCCTTGTATCATTTCATTATAATGACAAATTAAAATCATTAAAAATTTAATCTAATAAGAGTCCATAATATTTTCGTGTTTAAAGGGTAACTAAGAACAGAAGCAAAAGAAAAAAAAATATAGGTGGATAACAGGAGAATACCTTGTTAACTCTGTATACTGGCTCAGTCATTTTGACTTTCCTTGTAACCACCATTTAACCATGAAACTATACATATCATAACTCTGCATGTGCTCTGTATCTTCACGAAATTTGACAGACTTTTAGTAAATAATACAAGTCTGTTGTACATAAAAGATCAATTTGTTTGATAAAAGTATTATTCCTAAAAACTTGCTTGTTACGGCATCAGTTTTAAGTGAAAGATGATTTTCATACTAAGAATAAAATTTACTTTTCATTTTTCGATACAGTTTTCATATTTCATTTGCTTAAATTCTAGACTCACCAAAATAAATATCAAAAGTTTTTTCTAGTAAAACTTCATACTTTGTCTTTTATTTTCTCTACCTTAATACTAATTGTAGCAAAATCATTTGTAGTGAAAGTTTAAAAATGTAAAATATATTTTTATGTTGTAGAATAACTGTAGATTGTAACAAACAACTACAAATATTCTAAACAGCCTAAGGCTCCTAACAGTTTCACATTTGCTTTCATTTAATTTTATTGTTTTATTGCTATTTGAACCATGTTTAACTAGCATAACATAGCAAGGCCAGGTGGTTAGGGCACTCAACTCGCAATCTGAAGGTCGCGGGTTCGAATCCCCATCACACCAAACATGCTCGCCCTTTTAGCCGTGGGGGCATTATAATGTGACAGTCAATCCTACTATTCGTTGGTAAAAGAGTAGCCCAAGAGTTGGAGGGTGGTGATGACTAGCTGCCTTCCCTCTAGTCTTACACTGCTAAATTAGGGACGGCTAGTGCAGATATCCCTCGTGTAGCTTTGCGTGAAATTCAAAACACACAAACAAACATAACAAAGCAATAACTTTAAAAAAAATTTCTCCTCATGAAATGCATGTTGGCTGTCATCACATGATGTAATCTGAGGTCTGTACCTTTAGTAGGGTAAAGTCTTCGAGTTACATCATGTGATGACAGCCAACATACGTTTCATTAAGTTTTGTTATTTAACCTAATAAATTATAACTCGCATTTTACTTTTTTCTGAAAAATATGCATAAAAATCAAGAAATTTAACACTTATTTCAGCCCTGAGACCCTTTGCACTCAGTTGCATGGTTTGGTAAGCCTGTTTTTTCCTCACTATGTTGGTTATCCAAAAATATTTCATGTAGCTTTCAAATATGCAGATTAGAACACAAAAAGTATATCGGGCACTAGAATAGAATGTTCTAAAATGATAAGAATTTATCTAGCTTTTTAACTAACCTATAAATAGGTTAAAAAATCCCATTACTGCTTGGATCTTTAGTCTAAATCCATCAAGCTCTCCTGGTGAATACTAGAATAAAACAGACAATGATCTGATTTATGTAGTTTAGAATACACTATATTTGTTATAAACATGCCTAATAGCAATGTCAGAGAGAATTATTGACATTTCTTGTAAGACAGAGTATATAGGAAGGGTGTGTCAATGTGGTTTGAACAAATACTCTGATATCTCAGTAAAGTAGAAGTAAAGTATATTTTGGCTTTTTAATATTTATACTATGGTTGAACAATTTGAAGCCCTTATAAGGGAATAGAAAAAAAATCTGTTAAAGAGAATTCACTGCACCACAGTGTCATGTGACTCATAGAGGTGCAGATTGAAAACTTATCTAAATATTTCCTTTTGTAATTAAGAAATTAAAATTTAAATAAAAAAAAATTGAATTATAAACTATGTGTTGATGCTAAGATTATTAACATGCATTGATAATAAAGTAGTTTAATTAAATATTGAATGTAACCCTTTCAAAAGGCTGTTAGATGCTCATTTTGACCAACCCATATCCAGAGAGCTAATATATTTCCTGTTCAACTTTTGAATTGTTCCCTTTATTTTATACAACTTAATAAGAGTATTTTAAGTGTCTAAACAAATGGACATTTTTAAGTTGCTATAAATATTGCTAAACAGGTGTAAATTTTACAACTTGATATAGATAGGCTAAATAGGTGTACCTTTGTTTAACTTATTACAAGTACAGCTGAACAGGTGTATCTCTCAACTTGCTACAAGTATAGTGAAACAGGTGCACATTTTTCAACTTATTACAAGTACAGCTGAACAGGTGTATTTCTCAACTTGCTACAAGTATGGCTAAACAGGTGCACATTTTTCAACTTATTACAAGTACAGCTGAACAGGTGTATTTCTCAACTTGCTACAAGTATGGCTAAACAGGTGCACATTTTGAAACATGCTCTAGGTATGACTAAACAAGAACACGTTATGTAAATTTATATAGGCATGGCAAAGTTGGTGCACATTTTTGCTATATGCCTTGTCTAAGACTAAACAGGTTCATATTTAGTAACTTGTCACAGTTCCCAACTTTTGGAAAGCTTTTATGGGAGATTGGACACCGATTTCAACAAAATAAAGTGTTGTGCTTTAGATTATCATTGATATAATTTCATTGGTTTGTATAATAATAATTTGTTTTTTTTTTACAATTTCAAATAATGTTGAAGTTGTAAGATGAAATGTGAGGATGAAAATGTTGTAGCTGTACCCTAACTGCACTTAGAATCTTACAAGTTGGAAATTTGTTGATATTTACATCAAGTAGCTATAGCTTATTTTAAGTAAACATCTGTCTTCTGAACTTTCATACTTATTATATATTCATAGTTGTGTTGATTGATGAATAATTTATAAAACAGAACAAAAGAGGAGCTAGGATTGGTCCATTCTTGGTGTCCGGATCTCGAGACAAAACTTTGAAAGTGTGGGACATCAGCACTGGCCTCTGCCTTTTTACTATGGTAGGTGGGCTTATACTTTATGTACAGATATTAACTGTTTAATATTGGTATAATAGTGTATAAGGTAAACTGTTGTTGGGAAAAATATCTTGCCATATAGGTTGAAACTATGGTATTACATGCAAGGAAGAAGATACCGTTTATTGAAATCTTCTGCTAGAAAACATTTCATAAAAAAAGGATGGCAATGGGAGGAACTTAAGCAAAACATGGAAACCTTCTGCTAGAAAACATTTCATAGAAAAATGGATGGCAATGGGAGGAACTTAAGCATGACATGAAACCTTCTTCTAGGAAACATTTCATAGAAAAAGGGATGGCAATGAGAGGAACCTAAGCAGGACATACTTTAGTGAAATAGTTCATTAGATTATATAATGTGTACAAATAATCAAGCACAGATATGTCTTATTAACCATTTGAGTTCTTTCATGGAAAATCTTGTATATATTGTGAACCGTGGTGTTTGTCTGATTATGGCGGCCTCTCCCTGCGCTGCATTGGCAAAGCTCAACATTCATTTTTGAAATGTCGGGAGAACAGGTATGAATAATGTTTATGCCAAATTTTATTTCACAAGCAGAATATTCTACACTAAATTATCAGGAATTAATCACACTATCATTCATACTTCAAAATGTGATGTAATTTAAAGATCACAAATGTACATTTATCATATGTTATTGTTGAGTGGCTCTTAGCATGACTGAAATGCTCAACAATTACCTTTTGAGGTGGGCGGTATTATTGGCACAGAACTTTGGCTCTGAGTGAAACAAAGAGTGCAACACAATTAACCTTATTAAAGTCCGTGAAATAATTTAAGTTCATAGATTAACTTTAAACTTTTCCCATCACTGGGGACAGGTAATTTTGCTTGTGTTACATAAAGGTTTTAGCAACCAAACTACAAGTACTCAGTTGTTTATAGTTGAAAGCTAGTTTTAAAGAGTTTTTTTTTTCAATTATTTAAACTGTTTACGGGAGTGTGAGGTCCATACTAAACCCATTGAATTTTTATATAAAGTTTTCTAAATTATTTATGTACCAAGTTACTTGTTAGTCCATTATTTTGTTCATTACAAAGTTACTAAAATACATATGTCACACACAAAACTTTAAATAAAAATACTGTCAATAATTCAGTTAATTTGCTATTTGCTACTGAGGTAACCTGTGCATGTAAGAAATTTCAACCTGTGAAATCTGGCTCGTAGTGAAAAGTTTCAGTCCACTAACATTCTGGTTCATAGTTGTACACGTTTATCACCACTTGATGTCAGTGTTGAAGTTATTTCAAAATGTTTGTTTCTGTGGTTTATTGTAATACTGAAGTATCTTTCTGCTGTAAAACTTGAAATGAAATTGGACTTTTATACAGTTCGGTCTGTTCAAGTAATGTCTGTGATTCTCAAGAAATATGCTTTCCTACTTCATCTTATCCTGTATGACAGGACTGAAAGGAAGTGAACTTTTTTTATGAAGCAACACCATAACTTTTTATGATCTTTAAAAAAAATTGTTGAATCTGACAGTGCTTGTTTTAAAAATCTTATAAATTGTTGTGAAAATGTTTTTTTCAGAGATACCAAGATAAAAGGCTTCTTAATTTTTTTCCCAAGTAAAAAAAAAGTTATTGGTATTGTGGAACTAAAACTTAATTTTTTTGTAAAAAGGTCAAACCATATACTTTGAAGTAAAATTAAATTCCGACCTATCCATATTATGGTATTAAAACAACTAAATGCCAGTTTTATTTATGGCATTAAAGCTGGCCATAATTAAAAAATGTACAGTCCCCAAAATGTTTTATAATACTTCATGATTTCGCTTAATTTCTACTGATAGTTGTAATTATAAATCAGTGTCCTGTCCTGAACAGAAAGGATGGCATACTAGTGCAAATAATGTGAAATAGCCATTTTATGTTATAAACATAGAGCTGATTCTCTACTTGTTTATACTTCTAGTGGCGAAGGTATGTAGTTATTGACACATCTAATAAAGTATGTAAGTTATACATAAACAAATCTTGAAACATTGACAACTTGTAGGTACAGTAAAAATGTCTAATTTTGAGTGCACTTAACTCGGAAGGCAAGCTCACTTTTATCCACTATATGTTTTTCATAGAAAAATATGGATACACTTTGTTAGTACCTGATTATAAAATGTACTTTCTGGCAGTCAAAAACTTTGTGTTTCTTAATGTACTTAAATTTCAGGAACAGTAAATTTTCTGTATGCTCTTCTAGATCAGTTTAAGTTAGGAATGTTAAACAAGTATAGCAATCACAATAATATACCTAACAAAATACTTGATAGTATATTATACTAGATATTTAACTTTAAAGCTCATTGCAGAAATTCATTTTATTTTAAGAAAGTGTTGGGAAAAAAAAGAAGTAAAAAGTAAATGATTTAGACTTGATTTTAATATTATCATGATTAAGTATTATTATTATACAGGTTGGGCATGACAACTGGGTGCGAGGTGTGAAGTTCCACCCAGGTGGCAAATACATCATCAGTGCTTCAGATGACAAAACCCTACGAGTGTGGGATATTAAGAACAAACGCTGTTCAAAGACTCTGGATGCCCACACACACTTTTGTACCTCATTAGGTAAAAGTCGATTCTATTACACACTTCTTTCTCTTCCTTACTTCAAATATTTAATACAAACTATGTGTACAAAGATCTAGACTTGGATTCATGTCTTATTTTTTCTTTGTACATTATTTCATTATTGTACTTAAAAAGTTGTTGTTGTTATTAAGCACAAGGATACACAGAGGGCTATCTGTGCTCTGCCCACCACAGGTATCGAAACCCAGTGTCTAGCATTGGTAAGTATTTTGTGTACTTGAGAATGATTGAAACGTCATACCTGTTCTAAAAAACAAATATTACTTACTGTAAAAACTGTAAATTGTAATAAAATATATTTTTTAAGTGTTCAGGGTAAAGCTAGTCTGATAATTTACATTCTCTTTTGTTGTTATTTTTTAGTGAAGGTGAAAAGCCAGTATTTTTGATTCTGTTCTTTTTGTTTCAGATTTCCACCGGAATGCCCCTTATGTAGTCACAGGCAGTGTAGATCAGTCAGTCAAAGTGTGGGAATGCCGTTAAGAGGTTTTCTAAAGCTGCAAACTTCCTCGTGGAAGTCTTTTTTTAGTTCAACTCACTGTGAATATTTTCTGTGATTAATGCTTTTCCCTCATTAGTTTACCTACATTTTTGATTTTATCTTCTTTTCCCAGTCTTTAATTGCAGCTAGCTACTGTTCATACTTAATTCATATTTTGTTACCAAGTATACATTTTAACATTCTGCTGTCTGTTCCTTTTTTCACTCTGATTTGAATTTATTAAAGTACAATGGATTAAGAGAAAAAAAATGCTATTAGGGAAGAGCAGCTTTAGAAACTTGCAAGATGTAAGGAGCTTTTGATGTTGTATGTATAACAGTAACTTTAATTAAGGTATTACAACAAAAAATACATTGCCAAACTCTTAACATTTTGAACAGAATTGTTTGTCCTGTAGAGAGTAAATGAATGTGATGTTCCTTGTTCTAATCTTAATCCTTGTGTTCTTCAAATGTATTCTTGATAAAGTATATAAAAACGTTTTAAAGTGCCACTTCAACAGAGAAGGTACTGTATTTAGTCATTATTTAGGTGCATTAGCTTTAGAGATAAGCAGCGTTAGAGATGGTTGAAGTCTAAAGTTTGTTAGTTGTTAGAGGGCACTTTAAACTTACGTGTAGTTTAAAAACAATTCTGAAATAAATGGTACCAGTGCCAGTTGGTTTTGCACATCGTGTACAGTAAAATGAGGTTGCATTAGCAATGGAATTTCTGTTACAAGTGGTGGAATATAACTATTAATCAATGCTTTTTTTTTTATATAAGGAGCAGGTGAATTTTTTGACTGAAGTGTTTTAAATCGAACCAAACTCTATGGTTGTTTCACTTGTTTCCAGAAATATTATTTATCAGTACTTAGCTTGTAAATGAATGATATCTGTATGGAATTTATGATGTAATGAAGATTGTAAAATATAATATTATTACTGAATTATTTTCAATATTGTACTATTGTATGGCACTGGTTTATAATAGTGGTTTTCTGTTCTTTAAAGACTGCAGGTGATTTAGTACAGTATTGTGTGAGCTGGCAGAAAATAAATATATTTTCACTTTCCGTGCCGTTGACTTCAAAGTTTAAAATCCTTTAACGCTCAGGAGTAAATAGGAAACATCACCTCATTGTTTTATTTTTAAAGTCTTCTTTCTCGGATAAAGTAGTTCATTGTTGTGAGCCTCCATTCCAAACCTCAGAGCAGCATCAGTAGGTAAGCATGACACTGTGTTGTGTATTGATACTCTCTCAGCTTGTGCCAATATCATTGGTGCAGGTTTGATGACTCACTCAGACCTCTCAGTTTTTGGACTCGGTAAAGGGAACTGTAAATATCACTCTGTTTAGGCATTGACTCTAACCATCTGATTTAACCAAAATGTTCTTTTCCTTCTTGTTTAAAAAACAAGCTGACCTTAACTGTATCTTTGTAATGTTTCAAATCTTTAAATAATACGAAGAACAACATTAATCCTTTGCTTTTCAAAAAACTACGCTTGGTACACTCATTATTTCTGTTGTTCTTCAATAAAATATATATATAAGAAATTAATCAGATATAAAAGCTTTGATGTTTTGTCTAATTTTTCCTGGTGCCTAAAAATTCAAAATGGTTGGCTTTTAAAGTGTTAAAAAGTAAAATCATAAATTTTAATGATAGGTGAGCCTCGTGTGTCTGTACCAGATAATTGCGAATAATGCTTCAATGATAGCCACACCCCCTAGCTTATCTATACTCTGATAAACAGTCTAATAATATTTTCTTACTGTTTGTGTTTTATATTAATATTACTAGTAAACCATGAACATCAGTTTTTAATAACTATTTTTTTATATTTCATACAATATACTTCTTGTGTATGCTGTAACTAGTTTTTTTTTTAAGATAAATTAATGTTGAGTATCTTTGTAGACGTTAGTTTTGGCTACCTTTCTATACATTTAAAACACAATGCAGTTAATTTTAATTAAAAAATGGAATTTGTCATACTGTAGTATCAGTTGTGGGTTTTTTTTCAGTTCTCTGTAAGTTTATTTCAAATGAATGCAACTTCTAGGTATGTGTCTGGAACACAGGTGAAGTACGAGTCGTATTGGTAGATAGTAAGTATTCACTGTGGTGCAATGGCTGGGAGGTCAGAGTTTTGAATTCAAAAGCTTTGCTTTCTCTCAGTATTCAGAGAGAAGAACCTTGGGGTCAAAGCTAAAGCTTCAAAATTGCGTTGTTATGCTTAGCATAATTTTAAAGTAAAACCTTATATTTTGGGTTAATTTTCTTTTTTGTGAAGCTTAGTATTTATGTGTTTGTAGAATAAGTTTTTGCTTTGGGATGAGCATTCAGAATAATTCTGTAAATAAGATGCTTTAGTGTGATGTTCTTTATGTATATTTTACATCTTTACATAAAAGTGCACTGACAAAGAGATCAATTTATTTCCTGAAAGAAAATTATTTTTTCATCATAATGCATAGAACTCATTCTCATTACTATGTATCATGAAACTACAGGGAAGTTTCTTCTAGAATAGCGTTCACACGTTTGGGCCCACCTCAGAAGTGGCAGAATGTTTTAACTTCAACCAGTACAAGTTGGAAAGATCAGCCATCAGATTAAGGGATTGACTTCTGAGTGGAGACAAAATGCTATCACTGAATTTATGAAAGAATTATGTATCATACACTGTGTTTTGCTTGTGATTAATAATTTGTGTTGAATGAAATAAAATATGTGAGTTTAGTCATTTAGTATATCAGCTGCTCATTCCTTGATTAATTATTGAGATATCAGTTTGCACACTGAGAGCAAATTCCATTGAATTGTTTAAAATACTCAAGGTTTCCACAACTTGTATTAACCAAACTAAGAAGTTGTTAGTTTGTATACAGAACATTCTGCATGAAAATGCAAAGAGTCTTACAGCTCATTTTGTTATAGTCTCCTATAACTCTCCTTGTTACGGTTCATTTCCTGTAGCTAACATTCTTACAGAACTTGCATTTTTTTTTAACTTTAACTGGTGTTGTTATAGTTAACTTCTAATCTCCTATAGCTCATCTTAGTACAGTCTCTTACAGCTTACCTTGATATAGTTAATTGTAAGTCTCCTATAGCTCATCTTGGTACAGTCTCTTACAGCCTACCTTGATATAGTTAACTTCTAATCTCCTATAGCTCATTTTGTTAGTCTCTTACAGCTCACCTTGATATAGTTAACTTCCAATCTCCTATAGCTCATTTTGTTACAGTCTCTTACAGCTCACCTTGATATAGTTAACTTAAAGTTTCCAAATATAACAGATCTCTAATCATGAGTTTCCAAGTTATGGATGATAGAATAGATCAACTAACTTTATAATAAACCCACTTAACCTGTGAAATTAGATACTAATTTAGTACAATTGATTATAAATATATATGCCAAAGCTCAAGGACAACTACCTTTATACAGCATACAAGTCAAATATTTTCATAACAAATAATATAAAGTAGATGTAAAACAATTTGTTTAATGTGTATTAAATAACCTTTCTGCTTAACTGTAATGTTAATATTCTACATAATAAGGGCTATCAGGACCCCCTACCTTTTCCATACCTTGGCAATCACTTCAGTCATGTCTAATGATATGTAGCAGTAACTAATCAAAACCTAGAAGTATCCAGTAGCAGTCTCCTGTTGAGATTTACTCGTGGCAGTCGATCTTGCTGTTTCAGATGATAAGATAAGCATGGAAGCTCCAGCTGAATCTGAAAAATGGGAAGACATCAAGCACCTGCAACATCACATTAGAAATGCTGAAGACTGGTGGGCGAAAGGGTTGACTGGCATAGAAGAGTCTGGTACACCGAACAAGTACCACCTGACTCGAAGATAAAGATGATCTTTCCCTCCTCTAACTCCAAGGGCAGCAAACTATCATGGGATCACACTGCTGTAAATCTCTAGTAAAGTGTTAGTCTTTACTCTGTTTTCATGAGTGATAAAAAGACTGTTGGAGAAACATCACCATGAACAAAGTGTGTTCACCCCAACTGACGTACTGTAGATTGTCATTGTCACACCAGATGCTCTCAAGAAGACAAAGAAAGTTTGTCCAACTTTCTTGGATAGCCTATATGGATCTTAAAGCAACTTTTGACTCCATGGATAGAGAAGTCATCTGGCTTCTTCTTAAGAATATTGGTATTCCAACAGTGACTATTAATCTGATGAAAGTTCTTGTATACTGATACCACTAGCTGGGTAATATGCTTTGATTCTTTAAAGACCTCTAACAGTATATGGCAAGGATGTACAATTGCCCCCAAATCTCTTCCTTTTTCTCATGGGCTGCATACTTCAGTGCACGATGCAAAGATCTCTTAGGTAATAAAGTACTGACTGATCTGGATTATGCTGATAATGTAGCATACTTGTCCAAGATGCTTGAGACTGCTGTTACCCCTGGATGTCATGTAGGATAAGGCCTCTGCTTTTGGTACCAAGATTAACTGGTCTAAAATGAAATTTCGAACAACTTCGGCACCAACATCTACTATCAAATAACCTGAAATCAGCAGGCAACAATGTCAAGATTGTTGGCTTGTTCACCTTGAGCAGCAGCTTTAGTTAATTGATGCATATGACAGGGAAGTAAAGTATCACCCTGGAATATAAAGAAACTCCTGCTGTAACAGCCCTGTATATTGTCAGTTTTACTTTACAGATGTGAAAGTTTGAAAATTATGGTCGTCGTGCAAAAGAGGCTGAACAGTGCCTGTACAAAATCTACTGTCACCATGTTACAACTATGGAAGTCTGAGAAAGACCCAATATGCTACCACTTTCTGAACTAATCAGCAAACAGTGTCTCCTTCGAGTAAACGAGATTCGGAATGAAAAACAAAATATAAGGGATTTTCTAGGAAGATAAAGAACCACATATGTTGGTAATATATTTATTTGTCAATACAAAAATAAAGGAACAAGTAATATTAAAATTAATTTGTGTGAAAAAAAAATTCTTTTAACAGACAAGGAAAATAAGTAGTAATAGATATCACTTCAAATACCTTGACATATGTAAGAAACTGTCACTTCTATTTTCTTATAATAATATTGATTGTTGGAGTCACAATCAAATGGTACATAATATTAAGGAACATCAGAAAAGTTATAAAATGCTTTAAGTAACAAGTGATTTTTAGCCTTTCTCTGACACTGAGCATGGCCCTAGGGTTATCGTGCAGGACTTGGTATGGGGTTCCATGGTTCACATCCCATCGCCACAGATTTAAAAAAACAAAATCCACATATGCATTATAAAAGTGACAATCAAGTTCTACTATTTGGGCTGAAAAAAAAAAAGAGTAGCTCCAAAGTTGGCAGCTGTTTTCCCCCTTAGTCTATCATTTCAAAATTAGGGATGGCTAGTGCAGATAGTCCTGATGTAGCTGTGCATGAAATTCAACAGAAAAAAAAAAATTCTCAGATATCTTATTAAATACGTGTAAATAAAATTTAATCAAGAATAGCATTTCCAACATGCACACATATATAATAATAGCCAATTCTTATGTTTCTATTACTATAGATCTAAGATACAAGCTTATTAATTCTATAAAGTATATGAGCCAGGTGTGATCTAGTGGTTTGCATGTCAGAAGATCCACAATCACCCTTTCAGAAGAGTCGCATTATTTCCATTCAAAGCCCTTGTGACAGTTAGTAGTTCAAAACTTGAACCCTAGACGTTCCTGACCAGGTTGCTCAACCTATGTGCCACTCAGAATGAAAATACAACTACCAATGCTATAAATATTTAAAAACCTTTACAATATATTTGATGGTGGTGAACATAACTTATTGAATTTGTAAATGCTAATATTTATAACATAATCATAAGCAAGATTAGTGTAAGCTAGAAATTAGCATAATATTCTCAAGATTTTAATAAATAAAGAAGGAACACAATGTTTTACCAAGTTAATTAAACATTTTCAAGTGGGTTAATTTACTGTAGCAAAGCTATTATTATTAGTCACTAGGCTGAAGCTACAAACAAACATCCTTCCAAAGAACAGTGGCACCCCTACAGGTTTTAACTCCAAGTATTAAAACTGTGTGAAGTTCAGTGGAAGGGATTACATCCCATCAAAGTATTTTTGAGGTAAAGATGGCCAGATGTGATTGTATTGTCCTTAAGTAAAGAAATTCAGGGTAGCCATTGTTTATGTATAAAACGACCAGAAGCATTACATTTACAGCCTTTCTATCTCTAAGGTGTATAATTATTTGATTCTCACAAATGCTCTTAACCCTAGTGTGCCATAATACTGATAAGCATATCAAATTTGTCATTTAGAATTATCTGTAATAAATGTTATGTTTCTTGGTTAGATCCTGTAAAATCATCATAAATGCTGGTTGAACCTGAATGCGTAATACTGGATTATCCACATATCTGTCAAATTATTCAGATTTTTCAAGTTACATGTACTGAAGTTGAAAGGAAGCATGCCAGTTATAAAGGTGAATACATAATAAAAAAATTGTAAGATTCAGATTTATTCAAACCTGCACATAATTATTTTTTTAAAGAATGCAAGTTTCACTTAAAAATAAGGAAAGTATTTAACCACTGTAAAAAAAATAAAAAAGTTTGACACTTAATAAATAGCTAGAATTAAAGCATACAAAATAGTAGTCTTCCACATACTTTTATCTACACATTGTAACAAATTCTCCAAGGTACCAACAAGTTCAATTTGTAAGTTGAGTCAGTTACTTAATATTCACAATGCATAAGTATTGTAGGTCACCATAAGTGCTCCTCTTAACAGGATGTTTTTTTTTAAATTAGGATAAACATGTGAATGTTATAAAATATTCTTGAGTTAGATATACAAGATATAGATGAAAAATAAATTATACTTCCCAAATCATTCAGGAAGATCAATAATAAGGTTACTATCATCAGGACCTGCTTGAAATCCAGCTTTTGGGGATGATCCCTGAGCCAGAACATCACTTTCACTGGGAGAAGGAAAAAAAAAAATTGTTGTGAGTAACAGGTTTATTAAAAAACAAAACAAACTTGAGTATGTCCAGTTTCTGGTAAAAACCGTCAAGAGTAAACTATTAGAGCATTCGTATTCAAAATCATAATACAACTTTATAGTTTCGTAATTGTATCACGTAATATTGAACGCCTCGGTATTGGTAAATTAGTTAACATTCAATGCACTATTCAGATCACCATAGTGCATTTTTTATCATAAAATATAACCATGAATATGATTTCCTACACCTACAAATATATCACATTTGGTAATCTTAAATCTCATGGCCATATATATAATGTAAGGTAATATTTTGAAATTTTTGCTGAGTGATTCCAGACAAAAAGTCTTTCACATGCAACATCTACTATTCGTCTATGTATGTGTTTAAACCCAAGCTATAACTCCAAATAATTGATGTCAACATTTTTATAGCTTAACCACCCAATAATAGTTTTCAGCGATCCATATAAATATTATATTGACTGAAAAACGTGAATCATAACTTATAGTAATGAAATAAAGAGCAATTTAACAACTTTTGAATATCTTCGACACTTTCACATACGATGAGAAATGATGATTGTCAGTCAAAATGAAACGCACCTTTGATTTGAAAGATGCTAGGAGAGTACGAGAGAAGTGATATCAAGTTTGAAAACAATCTCTTAACTAATTATTTTAACATAACTATTTCCGTAGTTGGTTTTATGTTTTTTTTTTCCCAGTCAAACAAATATATATTCCAATTTAGAACCTCAAAATGTTTTGTACATGAACACTGCAAGTCTGGACCAAAATCAAAACACTAATAAATACGCCAGTTTTATTGTATTGACTGTGAAAACCAGAGGAAAGTTTTTCCATATAGTATATTAATGGATAAACACTTAAATATATAAAACTTTTTGATTTTTAAGTAGTGTACCACATGAAAACTTGCTAAAAAAAACACTTAAATTGCAAAAGAAAGTATTTATGCAACGTAAAGATTTCGCTAAGCTGAGAACAGCAACTGTCGATTATTTGGATGAATCATTCTATATGTATATATACACAAGACAACTAATTTCTTGAAGGTGAGCTTGCCAATCAATTTAGTTGTGCCTTAGACATTTGGACAAATAAATATTGTTCATTTCCTCCACAATTTTCATTTTACGAAGCTTGTGTATGAGTTCATTAGATATACTATACTAAGTAATTCAAAATATTTTTACATATTTGACAAACATTATCAGATTTGTTACAAGTATAATTCTACATCATTGGAAGAAATTTTCAATACACTAGTAAGTATAGGCTGGATAGTTTTACGTTGAGGTAAACAGTATTAAAAAATCACAGGAAGGAATATACAACTAGTTTAAATAGTACTTATTTTATAGTATTTTGGCACTTGTGTATAAAGTTAAAATGATAAATAATATTCAACATTAAACTGGTACACAATTAAAAACATTTTATTTAGGCCTTCAAAAAGTTGACGACTCTATATGTTTCGACGTTACAATGTCATCCTCGGGAGCCTTTAGTACTTATTAGTTTACACCTAGTAAAAACTAAAACTTTTTTAAAATCATATATATATATATATATATATATATATTTTACGGTATTAGAATGGTGTTCTTCAGTTAAGATTTCTGCTTATATGGGAACACAGATAGTCTGGATTAATAGTAAGCTGGATAAAAATAAATGTGACAAAGATCAACAGATACTGGTAAAATATAGAAGTCTATATATATAACAAAAGTGACAATGATTAATAAAGATATAGACATCTACATTGAAAAACAAGATAAAGACCAGTAGAGATAGGAGCCTATACCAACAGAAATAGAATCAAAAATAAAGTATAAATCATGTGTAACAGAAGTTGCCTGTAAAAATGTTTTCAGAAGACTGGTATATAGCAAAAGATGCTTTTAAATATGTAGCCTTTGGAAATCAGAAAAACAAACAAAAACATCCCAGACGTAACCTACAGTCACTCTTAACAGTCTGTCCTATAATGTAATATATAATGATTTATTTGACAGGTAATGCATGGATCCTAAACCACTCAACCTCATTTCAAGATAGATTTATTAATACTTAATTGCAAATATCACTTAAAATATTTGTAGGAATTACTGGAATGCTCTGAATATACAGATCTTCATCAGTTATATATATTTCTGGCTCAAAGTACTATAAAGAGAATTTCACTGTTAAAATTGTCATTATGAAAACACTTTTGTGAAATACATGTACAAGTCCAAAAAAAATGCCAGAATTATACCAGTAAGCATCTGGCTTAAATTTAGTGTGATTAGATAGAAAAGAAAGAAAAATACAGTGGAAGAAATTAAAGTAAATAGTATTCAACCAATATTAACTGATGGAAGTGGATAAAAAAAGTTCCGATTTGTACAATTCTGAGATTTAATTATACATATAAAAAAGTCTAAAATATCTTTATTTTCACACAGTTACAATATTGATTGCAAAATAAGTTCACAAAATGTAGAAAGAACATTATACTTTGATAACACTCCAAGAATAGTGATAATGAAGATTCATCTGTTGTACTGGAAACGATTAGCACCTTCAATAATAGCTTACTTATCTGGTCCTGTGGGTTCATTGCTAAACAATTCAGCTGGTACTGTGAGTGGGGTCTTTTCTGGGATAAGATCTCGAAGAGACTTTTTGGCCTCAAGATGGCGTTCTATTTCTTCAGCAGTCATATGTCCATCACCTTGAGAGAGAGGCGGGGCATCCTGAACTTCAGGGGGACGTGTTTGTTGACTGACTAATTAACAATGATGAAAACTGTACTGTATATTTATTGTAACGAAGTACTTCAATATGAACATTAAAAACTTGAACTTCAATGACTGAAATTAGAAATATAAACAATTAACATTCTATATTTTAGCCAATGAGGTTAACTCACTGAATAATCTTAAAATTGGATACAAGTTATGAAAACAAGATTAAGTCTAAGAAATTTTAATCACTGCGTAAGGTTTACAGAACAAGAGTACTTTGTTATCTAGTAATTTTTCAAATAAACGTTTCACTTATCACAGTATCTTTGCCAATTGAAATGTTTTGAAATCATCAGTTTGAATTTATATAATTTAAATTTTTAGTTTAAAAAATACAAAGATGCCCCACATAACCATCATATGGGTGAATGTGTAGTAATCACAACATTAAACCCAATGCACATGTGCTTAGTCTTTGTACCAATAGAGATTCAATGATCTAATATGGAAGAACTAGGTGCAAGCTAGGATGTCTCTGAATTCACTTTTTTTCTATATTTATCAAAATTAATTTTGCACAGTTTTCTACAAACCAAAGATAATAACATTTTGAACTAGCATCTGTTATTTCATCAGCATACTTAACTTTATGTATCTTGGGCTATTCGTGTGTTGCCCATGGTATTTTCTCATCATGCCAGGTTTACTTGTAAATGTTGCAACATCTGAAGTAAGTTTTAATAACTGGCAAGGTCTGTCATTATAATAATAAAAAAGGCATTCGTTGTTATTTTACTAATTTATCTACTCACTGTAAGACTTGTTTTTATGCATTGTTAATTTCGTTTAGCATACATATGCATGCAGGAAAAGTCAGATATAAATAAGTTCTAATTGTTAAAGTTACCTTGGTAAACCTACAGAACACATTCCTTAAAGAGTTCACTAAAATAAATCTAATCACCTATGATGTGAAAAAAGGATTGAGCATGCGACTTAAAGGAATGAAATCAAAATCAGCAGCCAAACTGGTAGCTACACTTATGGCACTGATAACAATTTTACAGCAAATATTCATTCATTAATTAGCTAGGCCACATTTTTGGTTCCTCCTTGTGACATGATGGTAGGTAAAATATTATTCAGAACAAACCTATATTTTAAGAACCAACCAGATTCTTTAAAATATATGGTGGTAGTTTTTCCTCTATAAAACAGTGTTACTAACTTCTTTTATAGTTACGCCATGGAATCTAAATTAACAGTTTCTTGTCATCACCCATATGCACTCGGTACAGCCATATCATGCATCATTAATTATGCTAATTGCTTAAGCTAATATCACGTGATGCTAAAAGTTCTTCAATTAGGAGAATGTCATAAAATTTAGCAAAATTGTGCTTAAAAGTTGGCAATGAATAATAACCAATCACCCGTATGATTCTTTTGAAAACTTGAGCTAGAAACTGCTAATCTAGTTCGCTTGGCTTAACCAATACTTATGTATCTGCACATGCTT